AAAATTTTCAAAATCTGCTTTTCTGCAAAAGAGAAAATATACGTATAATTTTAAATACAAATATCACTGAAAGATAAAAAACGTATATGTAGAATTAATACATACAATTGAGTGTGCATATATTATTGACAAAATCTTATTGTCGCTACTTTTCAATCTTATCGCAGCTTCATTCCTGGAACGTGAGATAATCTAACTGAAATTCTATTTATCAACTTTGATACGCTCATACCAAACCACAAAGGTATTTTTACGAGCAAAAGCGCAATGGTTATGAATTTAAAATAATTTTCCACTGCGATTTTTTATTCGCCGGATTGACGAGAGTTTCATTGACTTTTGACACCGGATCTAGTTAATGTTTGCAGATTTTATTCAGCTGGCGTGCGAATTTTATAAAACGATTCACGAGATGTACTCGAAGTTTATTACCCGACAAGTAAAATAAAAAAATAAACGAGTTGACGATCCGAAAAACAACTGCTTACGTACAAGTGAGAAACACAAATCTATACACCGTTACTCAAAGGTATAATTGGAGGGTTCGTTTCAGAAAGTGGACAACTCCATGTTTCATAACACTGGACAACAAATTTTAGTTTTTTAATTGTATCTTGTGGGAAAAGTGCACTTCTTTGTTAATTTTGGAGCGCTGAATCCAAAAATGACAATGAAATAAAAAAATTAGTTGCGGTTTAGAGAAAAAAACTTTTTATTTTTAAGGATATATTAAAAAAAGTAACAAGTTTCATATACTTATAAGAATCACTATATGCGCTGTCTTTTTGCTGTTCTTTTATGGATCGTTTCTGGAGCATCTCTACCAAGAGTCCAACAGTAGTCTGCAAGCATGGAAGGATTCCACTCTCCCTGGTACCTTTTTTCCATTGTTGAAATATCCTGATGAAAACGTTCGCCGTGCTCATCACTTACGGCTCTGCAATTGTCAGGAAAAAAGTCCAGGTGTGAGTGTAGGAAATGTATCTTAAGAGACATATTACAGCCCATCTTTTGATACGATGACAGCATATTTTTGACAAGGGTTTTATAGTTGTCAGCTTTTCTATTTCCCAAGAAATTAGTGACCACCAGATGGAAATCATTCCAAGCAGTTTTTTCAATACCTGTTAAAGTGTTTTCAAACTGTGTATCTTTCAAAATATTTCGAATCTGTGGCCCAACAAAAATACCTTCTTTAACCTTTGCCTCACTTAGTCTTGGAAATTTCTGACGCAGGTATTGAAAAGCTGACCCATCTCTATCTAATGCCTTGACAAAGTTTTTCATTAGGCCCAACTTGATATGCAGTGGTGGTAATCAAATTGTTTTCGAATCTACTAATGGCATATGCTGTACATTTTTTGACCTGGTTCTAGGAATTGACGAACAGGCCAGTTTTGTCTGGTGTAATGAAGTGCCTTTGCCCGACTGTCCTATTCACACAAAAAACAGAAAAACTTTGTGTAGCCTAGCTGCAGCCCAAGTAAAAGTGCAACAACTTTCAAATCGCCACAAATATGCCATTGGTGCTCATCGTATTTTATGCATGTCAATAGGTACTTCATATTGTCATATGATTCTGTCATGTGAACTGCATACCCTACAGGAAGAGATGGCAAAATATTTCCAATATGCAATAACACTGCCTTTAAACTCAATGTTGAACTGTCTACAAACAATCTCCATTCTTCTGGGTTATAGTTTATATTTAAAGCCGCCAGTAAGCCGTTAATGTTACTGCAGAAAACCAAGTTATTCTCCATATTGAAAAATGGTTCAAAGTCTTTGTGGCGTTTACGAAAAACACATACCGAAACATCGTCTTCTAACAAGTTCCACTGCTGCAGTCTTGATCCAAGTAACTCTGCCTTACATTTTGGAAGTTCTAAATCTCTTACAAGATCATTTAATTCTGACTGTTATTTTGTGCGGTTGGTGGCATGACGTGCTCGGTATAAAATCAGGATCTCTTGACGTTGATGGCATATCTTCTTCCTGACGAATCACTCGATCGCCATGATCTGATTCGCAAGTGTAGGATTCTGGGGGTTTTGGAATAGGATTTTCGTCACTGTGAGGCACAGGTCTCATCGCAGATGGTATGTTTGGGTAGTTAATAACCGATTTTTTTTTTCTTGGACATACCTGTGGCTTGTCCAACACAAGGTACCATGCAAAAGTAACAATCATTGGGACAGCAAAGCGCATAGACCGTTTTTTGCCATTTAACCAGCTCCTCAGACTTGAAGCACATGTATTACAGCAGATGTTTGTCTTGATCACCTAGTTTACAACCGAAATAAAGCTGATATGCCTTTGTTATTAATGGAGTAATAGACCGTCTCTGAGACGCAAAAGTCACATCACCACACACGTAACAAAACTAATCTGGATTGTTTACACACTTTCGAGACATCTTGCATGCACGCTGTCAGCCAACTGAGGAAAAAATGGCTAATATAAAACAATATAATGTACACGTATGTATAACGTAACACAATCATGCCGATTACATCATCTTTCCTTGCCGAATATAAAAATGTAGCACGTGCATTCTTGTGAATTACAGTATATTAACACTGTCACAGCAGGAACACATATAATTACCGTATCTCTAAAACTTGAACTAATATTGAAAAAATAGCACATTATAAATAGTAATATTTTGTTGATTTTATTTAGGTTATTTTTTGGCTGTTGATCAGTGTAATTTGTGGAAAATCAATAAAAACTTTCCAATATTGTTAGTGGTAAGAATTTTCTATCGAAAAAAATACCAATTATGTAATGGTGTTGAAAAATAATTTAATACCAAACTGATAAATTATTTTTTGACTGGTTCTTGCAAAAAAAAGGTGCAAACATTTGTCCTTTATGTTGCATATAAAAACTGAATTTTGGGAAAAATAGAGTTGACCGATTTTTGTAACTAATCCTTCAATTATTCAGCTAAATCCTAAATCTAATGACCAAGTAATAGTTCGCCTAAAAATTGACAAATGCCAATGGAATAGAAGAACGTTTGTACATCTCCTTGCAAGACTTTGAGAAACGGGCAGATTTAAAAGATCGACAGTTGTCATCGGGAGCCCTGCAAGGGTGCGAACAGTTCAGATTAAAGAAGCTGTTTTAAACTAAGCTGAAGCAAATCCTCATATCAGTACTCGGGAAACAGCTGAAAAACTAAATATTACCCATGTCATAGTGTGCCCGATTTCAAGAGCTACGAGCCCCTTCCTACTTCAGTTGGCCCTACTATTGAAATCGGAAATAATACAAATGTAGCAGGGTGTTATAGGTTTAAAATATTAACAATGAATACTTTTATAATATATAGTAGAAAATACCAACTTTATCATTCCCTAATCAAATTTGCAGCATAAAAATAACACATGTTGCAATTACAGCTTATGAACCTATTTTCATTTCAATGCAAAATGAGTCTATAACGCATAGGTGGCTGTGAAAAATAAAAGCCATGACAATTGTTTTCATTAATCACATCTGTCAGAATACGTTTAAAATAGTGTTGGGTAGTTAAGGTTTTCCAAATGGGTAGAGGAGAGGTTATTAGTGAGAAAATTCGGTTACTGATAATTAAATTTTTTGAAATTTTGTGGCACGAGATGAAAAAGGTTCTACGACAACATCCTGCTCGTACAATCACCGAACTGAGACAAAAGCTTCAAGAAATATGAGATTGTTTTACACCAAATTTTTGCCAAAACTTGGTTAACACTATGCCCCAAAGAATTTCAGCCGTAATAAAAAATAAAGGTGATCTTTCAATTTTTGCTTTGTTAACTTCGCGCATTTATTCGCACATTGTTTATTTGTTCAGATGTTCTATTAGTTATAGGTCTAAGTGATATCAAATATGTATTTTTTACGACTAGAGTGTATCTAAAATGTTTTTGAGAAAATAAATTGTTTTAGAAGTAAATAGTATCGTCATGTTTAGTTTATAAAGGCATATTTTGGTACAGATCTTGAAGTGGGCCAACTGAAGTGGGAAGGGGCTAGTATCTCCATATCATATGCAACATGTGCAAACTCATTGCTCAAAGATTTGCTGTTAAGACTAGCTTTTCTAATTGGTACGTAGTAAAATGATAAGGAATCCAGGTTTTCTAAATCGAATATTGTTTACAGATGAAGCTTGTTTTTCACGCAATTAAATTAATTTATACACAATCACATTTGGACAGAAAACAATCCACACGCCTTAATAGAGCATAATTTTCAATAACAGTTTTCTTTTAATAATTTCGTTGGACTTATTGGAGAAAAATACGGCAGGTTTTTAGAATTCGTTTTACCTGGACTTTTAGAAGAAGTTCCAATCATTGAAAGATTCCATATCTAGTACATGGACGACGCATGGACTACACTTTAATGTAGTGACCATTTGTCTTATGGCCTCCTCGCTCGCCCGATGTGAATCCCCTAGACTATTTTTCTGAGGATACCTTAAAGCTAACACTTTATGTGAGAGTGTCAATAAGTTGAGCTTTTGCATGAGAATAATCTGCAGAATACCAAGCTACTTGAATTATTGAGAAATATGATCAAACTTTCGTATTTCGCAAGAAAAGCTGTCGCACGAATGCTGAATACGCTGTTATTTGCTTTGTTCGCGGGTCTATATGTAGTGTCACAATAACCGATTTTTGACATAATCAATATTTCACACAGTATCAGTTTCAGAGAAGTAGAAAATCAACCCCGAAAGAAGAATCATCCTCCACCAAGACAATGCAAGCTTGCACACAGCACAAGGCAGTATTTAACGGAAGAAAACTTGGAATTATTGGACCATCCTCCATATAGTCCCGATCTAAGTCCTAACGATTTCTTTACTTTCCCGAAAATTAAAAACAGACTGCGTGATCAAAGGTTCCAGTCACCAGAAGAAGCAGTTGACGCATTCAACACTGCCGTTTTGGATCTGCTAGCAAACGAGTGGAATAAGTGCTTCGAAAATTGGTTTGAGCGCATACAGTTGTGTATTAATCTTCGTGGAGAATACTTCGAAAAACAATAAAATCATTTAAAACTACCTACCGTGTTGTTTTATTTCCATATGCAAAACTTAAAAGACATCCCTCGTATCAGCCGGTTTGACGGACTTGATCCGTTTAATTTCCTTGTTGTACATGTTCGTAACTATTTTTTTTTCTTGTAATTAGCTTAATCCTCTATGAACTCTTAACGTCATTGCTCACGAATTTCAGCATCAACCAACTTGACGTCAATTTTTCAATATTTTCCGAACGTAATATAAAAATATCAGCATACTAAAAATCCGATTCAAATCTTCATTTAGATTAACTTTTGAGAACTAATGTATGTAAAATACGTAGGAGGAGCCCAGCAGGTTGCAAGAAGCTCTTTTAAATTTTCGGCGGTAGGCTGAAAAAGTAAACAATGACAATCGTGATCGTACCAGAAGCAGAGCCAACTTAATGGTTGATGATGTGATATGATGGCGACTTACGTCTTTATCCGGGGTCAAATAAAGTCAAGTAATGCTGAAGAATGATCGTGTACCTACATTTTCAGACTTATTTATATTCAAGGCGTTACATACATTAAGCCGCATTTAGGCGGAGTAGCTTTTTATGTGAGAAAAGATTCAACTACATCCCTTGTAATTTAATTGTGTATTACTGCTTAAAACAGTATTTAAGCACTTCAACCAGTGCCTACAGAATGATCCAAAAATATTTATGGCAACAGACTGAAAGTAAGGAGATTGAAAAAACAAAAACTGTAAATTGTTTCTTCGGTAGAGGAGCGCTAATTCTAACCCTCACTATACGAGGGGGTACCCAAGAAAACCGGAAATATTTTTTAAAAACTATTTATTTTCAACTTTTTCACAAAGTAACCTCATGTCCTTCAGAATACTGTCCACTACAACTAATACACTTATCCCACGGCACGGGTATCATGTAAAAAACCTACAAAACTTCAAAAAATAAACCTATAAGATGTCAACTTGCAGACTAAAGTATATTCAGATAAGAGATAGACCGGATGTAAACAAAAGGTTCGGGTGATTTTCACGCTAACGCCGCCGTCTCGACGTAAAACAGGAGCCCTCATTGGTCAATTCGCAATAAAATGCCTATGCCGAGCGGCAGAGCAGTCGTATCAAGGCAGAGTCACATTCAGGTTCAGACGTGTTACGTATGTCGTGTGCATAATTGCAATTTGATATTTCTTTGGACGTTTTCGTTTGTTATCTTATTAAGTTGTTGAGTTTGTCGTTGTTATTGTTATACCTTGTTATTGATTGTTATTGTTATCAACTGCTTGCGCAAAATGCCCAGTAGTACAGATACTGCCGATGAAGTTGTAAACTCCTGTAGTCCGCCTAGGAAACGCTCTAAAAAAAGACACCTGAGTGCAGAAATGAAAGAGGTCATTTTGAATATATATAAGATCGAGCGCGAGGAGAACGAGGCATCAACCATCAAAGAAATTGTTGTGAAGGTTTCTCACAAAGTTGGGGTGTGTCGCGCATCAGTGTTTAATGTGTTAAGACAATACAAAAAAATCACACCTTTTCTGAGCCAATGACCAGTAAACATCGCAAAAGTATTGTTAAATCATTGGATGAAGCTGATAAGCATGCGATTACGAGGAAAGTGCATGAATTCTTCTTTAGGAATGAAATACCTACTATAGATAAAGTACTGCAGGAGGTAAATGGAGATACAACGTTGCCAAATTTCAAACGATCAACTTTCCATGCGTTACTGAAGCATTTAAATTTCAAATGGAAAAAACGGGGTCGTAATAGTTTACTACTGGATAGAGAAGAAATTGTGCTATGGAGGAGGGATTATTTAACAAAAATTGGGAAATATAGAAATCAAAACAGGAAGATTTATTACCTTGATGAAACGTGGGTAAACGCAGGACACACTACAAGTAAAGTATGGGTTGATGATTCTGTAACTTCATCCAGGAGGGCCTTTCTAGATGGACTGTCCACCGGATTAAAAAATCCAGCAGGTAAATACGAGTAATAGACAACAATCGGATGTTTTTCAAACCTTGGGAACAAGGTTCTAAACATTAATTCCAGGGGGCAGATAAAACATATTACAAGTAACAAAACTTTTATAACTTTCGATAAAATGCGTGGATGTTTTATTGTCATTTTCATTTGTTAGAACTTTTTTAAGCCATGTTTTTATGTGTTTTCGATATTTCAATAATTTTTTAATATAATCTTAAAATATGTCGAATATTATAAACTTAAAAAAAGTTACTAAGTTTTATATTGTGTACCGTTCCTAATATTTCTAATCATTTTAATTCATACTTTAAGCTTTATAAAGTTATAATTTGTTAATATTAATATTTGCGCGTATTTCAGGTTCCTGATCATTCATTTTTTAAAGGTTTATAACTTTAAATTAAATTGTGAAGCGCTGAGTAATCATACGACGTTCAATATTCTTTCTTTCAATATGACTAAATAATCCCAATTATAGCAATCTGATACTCATGTCTCAATATTTTTTCGCTGAATATGATGAAAACATTTGAAAAAGGTTCGCTTATTGAAATAAATCTACACCAGTTAGTACTTCGATTTCCAGGTAAAGGGAAAAGGCTCATTATCTGCCATATTGGCAGTGAGGATAGATTTGTTGTTGACGGTCTGTGGTGCTTTGAGTCTAAGAAAACTGGAGATTACCACGAGGAAATGAATGGCGAATCGTTTGAACAGTGGTTTTCAAAAATTTTACCGAACTTAGAGGAAAACGCAGTAATTGTGTTGGATAATGCGCCTTATCATTCTCGAAGAATGGAGAAGGTCCCAACAAAGGCTTCAAGGAAAGTTGATGTTCAAAATTGACTCCGCTCGAAAAATATCAACTTTGAAGAAGCAATGCTGAAAGTACAATTATTAAGAATTGTCAAGGATCACAAGGCGGAATATCAAAAATACGCCATTGACGAAATGGCAGCAAGTCAAAATAGAACTGTGCTCCGTTTACCTCCATACCATTGCGAGCTCAATCCCATTGAGCTCATATGGGCAGAGGTTAAAAATTATATAGCTAAGCACAATACAACTTTTAAATTTTGTGACCTCAAAGGACTTTTCAAAGAAGCACTAGAATTAATAACAGCGCAAAAATGGGAAAACTGTATTAAGCACGTGAAAGACACAGTTGAAAAGAGAATGTGGGAACTGGACAATATTTTAGAGGAACAAGTCGAGCCATTCATTATTGACGTTGGTGCTTCAGGCAGTAGCGATGATGAAAGCTCATCAAGCTCATCTTTCCAATAAAAGATGTCGTTCATCAAATTCGGTAAGTTATAAGTAATTATAAAGCTACTGTATTTTTTAATTAATTATTGACATTTTTAAACCCATTTTGGCAAAACCTATTCAAGAATCTACTTTCTGACAATGTTCAACCATGCACATTTTTTTACGTTTTGAACGTTTTAATTTGGTTACATATTTACCTAGAAATCAAAAAATATACTAATCAATATTCTAAAAGCAATTTTAAGAGATATACGATTATTTTTAATTTAGGCTAATTTAAACGCCATTTTGAGATTATATTCGACTGTATTTCACCAAACATCAGGCGGCATCCGAAGCTGGAAATCGAAGCGAAAATTTTGAAACCCTTATGTATATTTACATCATTATATATTTCTTACCCCACCCCCACATGATCCTATATCCATCACCAATCGTATACACAGCGAATTGTGCTAATTTACTACAAAGTTACGCAAAGCAGCATCTACTATCTATGTACTGCGTGACTCTTAATACGTCCCTGCCGAATGTTACAGCGTTCGATGATCACGTGGTCTTGTTTATGTCCGGTCTATCTCTTATCTGAATATACTGTAGGTAGTTTTTTTATTGCGCAAGCAGTCATTCCACGTTTGCTCACTAGGATCGTAGTGAACGTCCATCTATGGAGGAATCACTCAACGAAGCTATACATGCAATATTGGTTGCATAGTTTTGTAAGGCCAAATGGTCCTTATCTGTAGTTTTTATCTCTGAGAAGAAATTTGGTTGAATAGCAAGATCGCATCTGGATGATTATGTGTTTTCGTCTGCATGTGTAGAAAATCAGTGATATTTGCTCATTACTGAATATGCTGCCAATGAAGTATATCTATTGGCTGTACCCGACGGGTTATTCTTATGTTGCTTTCTGGAAAGAGGTTATGTTCTAAGTTATAAATTACGAAAAACTGAGGAGAATTACGGGAAATGATCACTGCGTGTGTAATTACTGTTAGCATGTATATGGCTTGTAATTCGACAGTGTACCGTGAATATAATTATTTCTTATCTCTCTCTTTTTTGAAATTCACCAAATTTGTATATGTAATTTCCAGAATAGATAAGAAAAAGTGGATACGCAACTAATTTCTAGCTTTGAATCTCAATTAAGTATATTTGAGACAAGAACCCAATGTAATTATCATCAACACATACAACTTACAGCTTAGACCTCCAGTAATGGCATCTCAGAAGCAGATTTTACATCACATCAGAGCCAAAGATTGATAACTAGCCTCATGATGTTTAGGCAACACGTACAACTAAGTGCTAAGTTAATATCTTGTAGAAAAACCTACATAATATAAAAAACACCATGATGTCAAAAAAAAATCGGCATAGTGTCACTTTTCAAGATACGTGATACCCGTCTTCCTTAGAAATTTCTGACAAGCGACCAAACGAACTGTCAAATTTCAAGGAAGCATCGAGCGTGATATATGCTTACATCGATCCGATGATTCCTAGTAAGGATTGAATGGCGTCTACACTGAAAACCAAATTTGCCTGACGGCTTGAGTTCCATGTGTACGAGAGAGAAGTGTGTATAGACATATATGTTAGAAAGAGATGGAAGCCGACTGGATAGAGAAGCTCATAATCGCGTGGCCTAGCAACGCTAACGCGGCAATGTGCCGCGTTGCCAGTATGTTACACCAGTTCCTTGAATTAAGATGAATGTTGAAAATATGCGTTAGTTTATTCTCCAAATAAAAGTTTCATTTAGTCAATAATTATACGAGGAGGTACCTAAAAAAAAATGGA